CCGCCCAAATGTTCACGCAAAGAAAGAAGGCGTAACTTTTATTCTCGCTGTAGTATTGTTGTTGCCGCCACCATGTCGCGAAGGCGCTGTGTTTTGTTGTGAAAGCGAAACGACTTTGTTTGGTCTTCCAAAAGAGGACGATATCTGCTTCGTCATGCCTGGAGCTGATCCGTGCTGGTTGCTGAGGAAATACTACAGCTTTGCGCTGTGGATCGCCGAATCGGTTTTCACCGTGGAGGAAGCGGAGTCCAGCCCGGGGTCGTCATATGTCCTTCCGGACGCTCCTTCGTCAAAATCGCCGGCCGCGCCGTTCTCAAGCCCGCCGCCTCTGCTCACTCTAACCCTCCCGCCGTTCCTCACACTAGCCCCCGGCCTCTGCTCACTCTAGCCCCTGGTCTCTGCTCACTGTAGGCCGCGGTGTGTGATGCTGTTTCGTTGTGAAAGCGAAACTACTTTGTTTGGCCTTTCAAAAATGGACACGACTAGAAATCAGTGGTTAAGTTGTATTTACAACACTGTTCCAGAACACTTCAACCCAAATATTCAGATGTGTGCAGCACATTTTATGGAGGACTGTTTCCTGGAAGAGTAGACTACAATGCCGACTGTTCTGACTCAAAGACTAAGTACGTATTTTATATTTAAAGAGTTTTTTATAATTTATATATTTAAAGCGAGTTTTTTGGGCAGTGTAGGGTAGTGCTTGTTGTTTGTCATTTCTCCGATCACAAATGCAGACATGGTTTTATGTTTACGCGGCGCGGCGCGATGCAACGCAACGCGTAAAAAGACAGTATAAGTCATTATAATCCATAATTATGTCCCCACTGGATGCAACGAATGCCTCGTTTATAATGGGTTTTCATATTTTTGAGTCATCGCTTCGGCCTGACAGGGCATCATCACAATATGGCAAGGGGCGTAACATTTCTGTCTCACGCTTGAGGTATTCGGCCAATCACAACGCACTGGATAGCTGGCCAATCACAGCACACCTCGCTTTTCAGACCGATGAGCTTTGTAAAAATCTACGCGTTTCAGAAAGGCGGGGCATAGAGGAGAAACAGTAATGTACAGTATGTGGAAAATAATGTGTTTTTTTTAACCTTAAACCGCATAAACACATTTCATTACACCAAATACACCAAATACTGTTCATTTTAGCAACATCATATGACCCTTTAATAAAAAAACAATTATTAAAAAATATGCACTTTAAAGGTTGCATTTAAAAATATTCATTTATTATTTTATTGTTGTATTAAACATGTAAATACAACAGTTTTAAATATTTCTAAAGTTAATTATTTGCATTTTTATTTTTGAATGAATAAATTGATCATTGACTTTATTTTTAAGAGGCACTTCTAGTCCCCCATAAACTCCCACACAGCTTGAAACAGCAACATTTACAGTAATGGTGCGAGTTTGGGGCAGGACTAACTGGTTGTTTGACCGATGGCGCATTGAATATGATTAAATTTGCTTCCACTTTGAATAGTCAAAAACAAGTTAGACAGGTCACATCATTGTAAAACAGTTTGTCAAGATGTCGTTATTCATCACATTTCGCTTGTGACATACTTTATTAAACAGATTTAGAAAAACTATGGATTATACAGCTGTAATATTTCATGAATAGAGGTAAAATAAAAGTGTTTTGAGGTTTTCTTAACAGCTCTGTCAGTTTCCTATGTTGTACTAACATGCTGCTTGCCAAACAGGCCTACAAAACAGGGAGATTTACTGCCGTGTCATGGCAAATAAAAATATGACTGCATTCAAGGTGAGGTAGTTTGTGGCAAAAAGTCACTGTTTGTACATTACAAAAAAACAAACATTCCCAAAAGAACATCAGTATGCCTTTTTACTAATCCTATAATGTATATTGTTTAAAATGGTATGACATATGGAAGTAGTTTTCTTTTGTTGAAAGTCTGTAAGGTGACCTTCCAAACAAAAAGTGGTTTAACAAGTTAAGGTTAAAGGGGTCATATGATGCGATTTCAAGTTTTCCTTTCTCTTTGGAGTGTTACAAGCTGTTCGTGAATAGATACGATCCCTAAAGTTGCAAAGATTAAAGTCTCAAACCCAAAGAGATATTCTTTATAAAAGTTAAGACTGGTCCACGTCCTCCTAAAACGCCTCGTTTAAACACGTCCCCACATGTCTACGTCACGATGTGGGAAGATTTGCATAACGCCGCCCAAATTTTCACGCAAAGAAAGAAGGTGTAACTTTATTGTTGCTGCCACCGCCGTAGCCATATTGTGAAGATGCTGTGTGTTTCGTTGCGAAAGCGAAAATACTTTGTTTGGCCTTCCAAAAGAGGACATGACTAGAAATCAGTGGTTAAGCTGTTCCAGCACATTTCAAACCAAATATTTAGATGTGTGCAGCGCATTTTATGGAGGACTGTTTCCTGATCCTTGGAGAGTAGACTACAATGCCGGCTGTTCTGATTCACAGTCTGTAAGTACGTTTTCATATTTAAAGGATTTGCCACTGACGATTAGTGGCAGTGTAGAGTAGCGCTTGTTGTTTGTCGTTTCTCCGATTACAAATGCAGACATGGTTTTATGTTTACGCGGCGCGATGCAACGCAACGCAACATGTAAAAAGACAGTATAAGTCATTATAATCAGTAATTATGTCCCCCCTGGATGCTACAAATGCCTCGTTTATAATGGGATTTACTGGTTTTGTCCATCGCTCTGGGACACGGCATCACAGTACGGTAAGGGGCGTAACATTTCCGTCACATGCTTGAGGCATTCGGCCAATCACAACGCTCTGGATAGCTGGCCAATCAGAGCACACCTCGCTTTTCAGACCGATGCGCTTTGTAAAAATCAACGTGTTTCAGAAAGGCGGGGCATAGTGGAGAAACAATAATGTACAGTATGTGGAAAATAATGTGTATTTTGAACCTTAAACCACATAAACACATTTCATTACACCAAATACACAAAATAATGTTCTTTTTAGCAACATCATATGACCCCTTTAAGTAAGTAAATATGTTGTTTGCCAGTGAACCACAACAGTGTTCCTCAGACAGGAGAACAAGTGGTGTTGGTTTTTGTTTCTTTACAAAAACAACCTTTTGCAAGTTCTCTTTTATGACTGACAGGAGATATCAGAGGAGAACCCATTTGAGGATCCCATGGTCCTCATGCAGAAGTTTGAATTAAAGATGAGACAGGCTGTTCCTAGGCTTTTCCATGAAAAGATGACACACATTTCTTTGTTCAACAGATCAGAATGAGTTGCCGCAGCCCATAGTTTCAGTTTTCCTGCCTCTGTGGTGCAGCTCAGCTCTGCTCTGTTTGTGTGTATTTGCGAATGTATTTGTTTTCTCAAAGTCTGACAGCCTTACATGCAAGAGACACTCCTGCAGTCTCTACCACAAACTCAAGGCTGTCAAATACAGATTCAGTTTAGCTGATATTACAAATGCAATATGACCCAGTGAGTGAAACGGAAACAGAGAAATGTCTTTGAAAATCAACTCTGAGCCGGTTGTAAAACATTGTTATGCCACAACAGCTTGATCTGTGGTGTGGAAACCTAGATACTTGTCTGACCACAGCAAAATAAATGTCAGCTACAATGTAGCTAGTCAGCTATATTTAGATGGGTTGTTCATCATATTTTGTATTCACAGGCCAACCTGAATGACTCTCATAATCAAATGGTTGTCCATTGGGCCGGGGAGAAGAGCAACGTCATAGTAGCGTTAGCAAGAGACAGCGCCGGTGCCACAGATCCCAAGACCAGCTCTGTGAGTATATAATTTTTTCATTGATCATTTCAGAACTTTGACTTCCAACATTGTGTATGAATCTATAAACATTGTTATGCCACAACAGCTTGATCTGTGGTGTGGAAACCTAGATACTTGTCTGACCACAGCAAAATAAATGTCAGCTACAATGTAGCTAGTCAGCTATATTTAGATGGGTTGTTCATCATATTTTGTATTCACAGGCCAACCTGAATGACTCTCATAATCAAATGGTTGTCCATTGGGCCGGGGAGAAGAGCAACGTCATAGTAGCGTTAGCAAGAGACAGCGCCGGTGCCACAGATCCCAAGACCAGCTCTGTGAGTATATCATTTTTTCATTGATCATTTCAGAACTTTGACTTCCAACATTGTGTATGAATCTATATATATATATCAGACTATTCAGTGTAAGATACAGATAATATCTTGACCATCTAGCTTTGCTTTTTAGTGCTCTCTGAGTCATACAGATGCAAGGTCTCCTTCTGTTCTTCAGTTCCCTGCACTTTCAGTATATCATCTTAAATGCTGCCGGTTCCAACTCACTACACTACCTGGAAAGACTCTCTTGCACCCTTAAATGTTACTTTTCCATCTTCGTTGGCAATAATTGCACATTTTCAATAGTTGCCGAGCTTTTATGTTAAACATTATCTAATGCAAATGCGAGGACAAAAGTGGTGCGGTCATACTTTATGGGGCACTGGAGCTGTTATCTGCTCACCTGTGTAGTGATAATAATTCTAATAATAAAAATGTGACTAATATGCAAAAACCTAACCTCAGACTCTATTGGAATCAATTGGATGCAAAGTCTTAATGTGCTTCACATAAAAGGAGTGTTATTTTTGAGACATAAAGAGTTACTTGTTACATTATCAAGCTGTAAGCCTTAACATGCTAACATCAAAAATCTATTGGATTTAGTTGTAAGAAGAGTCTCATGCTCTTCATGTAAGGAGTGTTATATTTGAGAAATAAGTAGTTGCTTATTAGTTTATCATGCTTTTAGCTTAGCAGCATGCTAACATCAAACTTGAAATCCGTTGTAAGCAGAGTCTCAGCGGGCTTTACATAACCAGCGTTATTTTTGAGACATGATGTTGCATATTTGATTATCAAGCTGTTAGCTTAGCAACATGCTAACTTCAAAATCTATTAGATTTAATTAGGGAGCATTATTTTTAAGAGTTGCTTATTAGGTTAACATGCTTTTAGCTTAGCAACATGCTAACATCAAACTGGAATCAATTGTGAACGGAGTCTCATATGGAGCTCATTTAAGGAGCATTGTTTTTGAGATATTAGGAGTTCCTCCCTATAATAAGAAAGTACCAAATCAGTTTCATATAATATTAAAAGGATTCATATTGACTTAAAGGCAGCTGCCTGTGTAGACAGTAAAAAACAAGACAGCTTATTAGGTTTTGGAACAGATCTAGAATTTCAGCAGTGTATCAGGTGAAGTTTGACATGATGTTGTTTATTTAACAGGTGTACGTGTCTTATGACTATGGAACCACCTTCACCCAGGTATCAGAGAAATTTAAACTGTCTGGGGACCAGAAGGGCAAGAAACAGGTCATATCGCAGTTTTACCACAGCCCCGCTGACAACAAACGAGTAAGTGTGTGAGAGACATCAGCTGTACTATCAGTGTGACAATGAGTTGTTTTGTTTTTGTGAGCTTAAGCTGAGGTCAAACAAGACCGCGGTGACACTGACTGCTTCTCGGCCATCTGCAGCTGTGACCTTCCACCACTCCAGTCGCTTATACATCCACAGATGGTGTTTTCTAAGAGAGCAAATCCAAGGGCTGGGCAAAAACACAAGCTACATCCTTAGTCTCTGCCTTTTGCACCCACCATAACGGGCTGCTCCAGTGAATCTCTGTGAGGTGCAGAGGCTCATGGGAGTTGGAGTGGGGAGCTGCAGATATGGACTCTGCATTGCGTTATTGCAGGGGCTGATGGCAGCAGACGGTGACCATTCATCTGGAGTCAATGATGTGACTGGCACTGCAGCTGCCGCCTGCTGCTGCTGAAGGATCGACGCTAAAGCAGTTTTTTTGCTATACTTAAATGCTTTGATGTTCTCATAGAGCCAACTGCTTGAAATAAATAACTGTACAATAGCAACTTTGAGAGCTTCTGTTCTGTTGTGTCTTCAACAACTACAAGGGTTAAATGGATAGTTCACCCCAAAATGACATTCTGTCATCATATATTTACCTTCAAGTTGGACTTGTTTTTTGTTTTTCTGTTGAAAACAAAAGAAGATATTTGACAATGTTGATGCTGTTCTTTTTTGTGATTGGTGATTTATAATGGTAATTAAAAGCATCATAAAAGCAGTCCATATGACTTGTGTGCTGTCATTGTGTCATTGTACATTGTAAATCTTGTCATATGGACTACTTCTATCATGTTTTTTGGAGCTTGGCATTATAAACAACCATCCACTTTCACTGTATGGAAAATAGATACTTGGCACCACTTTGCATGTCTTTTTATGTTTTCATCTCCTTTAAAGATAATAATATAGGATTTGTAATATTAGATTGAGTAAATGATGAGAGTTATGGTTAAACTGTCTAAATGTTCTGTTTTTGCTGAATTTACCCTTTAAAAATTTTTTTTTCTTAATTTTCCCTTGCAGTATCTATTTACTGACACCACGAACAGTTACCTGTGGAACACCTTTGACTTCTTCAATACTGTTCAGGGTTTCTCCATCCCATTCAAACCCACAGACTTACTGCTGCACAGTAAGAGGCCTAACCTGGTCCTCGGTTATGACAGTTCTCATCCCAATAAACAGGTAAGAAGTACTGGGCTTTTCGTATATCGTGTGTCTAGTTTTAGTAAGATGAATGGCACTGTCATTTTAGGCCTTTAGCTGTTTGTAGAGATTTGCCCTTTTGAATTTTGCACTAAGCAGCATGTTTTGATGTGAGGTAATCAGCTGTAATTTTTGAATGAGAAGCTGGTTCATGATAAATGTTGAATCATTAAATGTTATACCAGAAACAGCTGACTCTTAAGGACTTATCCTTTATTCTGTTTTCTATTTTTATTATTTTTTTGGCAGCTGTGGAAATCAGATGACTTTGGTGAGACGTGGGTGTTAATACAGGAGCATGTGAAGTCCTACTTCTGGTAAGATCAAGTAGTTTGAGAGCGTTGAAGCAAATGGCTCTTTGAATGTGTCCAGTGTGAAATCTGTTTTGGAATTTTGCCTATATGTGTGTATGGGTATGATTTATGTTTGCCAAAAGTAGTCATGCTACTTTAACTACATGTTTCAGTGCTATAAACACAGTAGCTTTTCTAGAAACAAGCAATTTTTTCCAGCAAGTAGCGGTAGCAAAATGCTACATTGCTATTTTTTTGTCACGTCATATTTTGCTTGCAGCTTTACAGCCGAACAAACTGAGGAAATAATCAAACATACTTGCCTAAATGTCTACTGTCTTTTTATTTTATGAAGCATTTCGATTCATTATAATAAAATAGTTATTTCGACAGTTCATTGATTTTAAATGAACCAGTTTAAAAAAACAATTTACCACCTTTTATGCCACCATGACTGTAATTACATAGAAAATTATAAAATAATATATCATAGTAATTGAAAATTCAAATAGGTTCAATGCAGTTATCTGCTTATTATTAGTAGCCTTTTTCAAGTAGTAGCTTAAGTACACATTACCGTTCAAAAGTTTGGGGTCAGTAGGATTTTTATTTTTAAAGAAATTAGTACTTTTATTCACCAAGGATGCATAAAATTGATCAAAAGTGACAGCAAAGACGTTTACAATGATAAAACATATTTTTATTTCAAATAAATGCTGTTCTTTTGAACTTGAATCAAAGAATCCTGAAAAAAAATATTAAGCTGCACATTTGTTTTCAAATAATTGATAATAAAAGGTGTTTAAAGGATCTTTGACAGTGAGCACTAGAGTGATATCTAGCTGAAATTCAGCTTTGTCATCACAGGAATAAATGTCATTTTAAAATGCATTCAATCGAAAACACAGGAAGATCACTGGCAAATCCAGTGCTTGCTCGCCACGCTCTACAGGAATTTTGCATCAGTGTTTGTAATTTGAAGAGGGTTGAGCGCTCTGTGCTGCCTCTCTCAACTCACAAGTTTATGTAGGAATGTGAAACTCTTGCTTTGGGTTGCAGCCAGCACTTAGTGTTTGCACAATCGGGGACTCACATCGAAAGCAAGAAGCAACTAGAAATAACAGAGTGATGCTTATTGCTCACCTGTTCCATAAACTTTATGCTCCAGGATATGATCCGACCGGAAGACTGGAGCTAATTAGAATGTTATGACTATAATTCATCACAGACGTGATTACTGATTTTTTTTACTTTAGCTCTACAGTGTCTACAGTGTCTTGATGCCAGAACAGATTTGTTTTGCACATTATTGCAACATAACAGTCTGAGATATATAAGGAAGAGGTCGGTGTTCACAAGCATGTGGGCTGCTGTCCAGACAGGCTGCTTGACTGTGATACAGTCGGTTGTGGATGTTTCTCTGATGTGGCTCTGACTGCGGCTGTATTAATAATTGATTGTGTCTGCCAGCCGTGGCCCATTTCATCGGCTGGAGTGGCAGTCAGTGCCTGTGGAGATAACATCAGCGACCCACTGCGATGGCCCAACACAAATGACTCGAGAGCTCAGAAGCCGACTACACCATTACTGCAGTGATAACCCTTCTGTTCTTTGCTCTTAAGAGCTCTCTCACATTGAGCCTGGCTCAGGTTTGTCAGAAGAACCTGTAAATTTCAAACAGCTCTATCTTTTTCTGGATTGACAAGTTTTTCAGATGTTGGATCTCTTTTAGGGATGCATGATGTATCAGTACTGTATTGGTTATCGGCTGATAATTAGAATTATTTTATTACATTTTTCTCGCTCATTTGCTCTATTTTTACATTTAGATTCCTTTTTGTTTTGGTAATCTAAAAAAAAAAGATAACTGTTAAATGTAATCTTTATCAAATCTTAAAATGGATATCCATTTTTCATACTGTACAGTATGCTGCTGTGATGCCTAAGTTTACCCGTAGCATTTAAAACAACTAATTGTATTTTATATTTTAAATTTTTTATTGCCAAGTACATGACCCATTCAAAGGTTTGTGGTCAGTAAGTTTAAAAAAAAAAAGCTTTTATTTAACAAAGACATAAATAAATAAATCAAAATTAAAGGCATTTATAATGGTACAAATGATTTCTATCTCTAATAAATGCTGTTTTTATCCTGAAAAAAAATAAAAAAATCAGATTCCACAAAAATATTAAGCAGCACAACTTTTTTCAACATTGATAATAAGAATAAATGTTTATTGAGCAGCAAATCAGCATATTAGAATGATTTCTGAAGGATCATGTGACACTGAAGTAATGATGCTGAAAACTGATCTGATATTGATTATTTGACAGCCGATGCCTATGCCGATATCTTAGAAAGCAGGGTGATAATTAATAATTATAAATAATTATAAAAAATGATAAATTAGACATGTATATATATATATAATATATATATATAATATAATAATAATCATGTAATAATATTAATTCTTATATATTATTACAAATTATAAGTTATGAAAAATAAAAATATATATACAGTTGTGCCCAAAATTATTTATACCCTTGGTAAATATGATCGAAGAAGGCTGTAAAAATTAATCTGTATCATCAATCCTTTAGATATTTTATTTAAAAAATTTGCTAAAATCTAACCTTTCATTGTAGAATAAGAACTTTAAATTGGGAGAAAAACCTCTTTATGAAATAAATGTTTTTCTCTAATACACATTGGTCACAATGAATCATACCCTTTTATCCAATACTTTTTGCAACCTCCTTTTGCCAAGAGAACAGCTCTGAGTCTTCACCTATAATACTTGAAGAGTTTAGAGAACATCTGACAGGAGATCAGAGACCATTCCTTCATACAGAATCTCTCCAGACCCTTCAGATTTATAGCTGCATGTTGATGCTTCTCCTCTTCAGTAGGCTTGCCGCGATAGACAGTGCTGACGGTGATACCGTTGTTAAGCCGCAACACCGGTTACGTCACTTGCCCACCGTGGCACTGACCCCCACCGTCGTTTAGATTTTTTTTATAGTAATAAAAATAATTTAGTTCAGTAAAAGAACAGACAATACAATTAAAAACTGAACGCGGCTGCTCAATGCAAGCGTGCCGAAAGACAGTCGCATCACAGATCAGATTAAATTTTTCCAATGAGGAGAGTGAGTCGAGCTGACTGACAAGAAGAGTGGGGTGAGACAGACAAGACGATCGTGGATGATTTAGTTTCGAAACGAAATGCAAAAGCGCCTGTTTGGCAGTATTTTGGATTTTGAAAAGCCTGTTGACTTTTGCCGTTTATCTAAGGTGATTTTGAAAGTTTTTTTTAAACATTCGTTTATTATTTAATTGGTTCCACAGTGTTTGCTGATTTTTACATTATTTAAACTTTGTGTAATTTATTTATTTTATTTGACATTAAGGTGTATGCCATGTCTCCAAGCTTTCTTATTCGTTTTGCTAATAAACTTTCTACATTTCTTATTTATTTGGTTATATATTATACATGTTTACTTCCAGTTTTGTATACCTATTAAACTTTATGTAAGTTATTTTATATTAGGCATAGCCTGCCCTATAGCATGGTGTATTTTTATTTGTTTTGTTAATAAAAGTTATATGTTTTATATATAGGCTAAAGTGAGTTTGACGTTGTATTTTGTTGTTGCGTTCAAGCAATTGACGCCGAATTGACGCTATTTGAAAGTGAAAGTAAAATGCGCACGCCACTTTTGCAAGCTATTTAAAAGTGAAGGATAGCGAGGAAAAGAGGAAATGTCCCCGTCCCCGCCCCCACGGTGATACCGGTATTATCGCTGTTGTCATTATTATTTAATTGGTTCCACAGTGTTTGCTGATTTTTACATTATTTAAACTTTGTGTAATTTATTTATTTTATTTGACATTAAGGTGTATGCCATGTCTCCAAGCTTTCTTATTCGTTTTGCTAATAAACTTTCTACATTTCTTATTTATTTGGTTATATATTATACATGTTTACTTCCAGTTTTGTATACCTATTAAACTTTATGTAAGTTATTTTATATTAGGCATAGCCTGCCCTATAGCATGGTGTATTTTTATTTGTTTTGTTAATAAAAGTTATATGTTTTATATATAGGCTAAAGTGAGTTTGACGTTGTATTTTGTTGTTGCGTTCAAGCAATTGACGCCGAATTGACGCTATTTGAAAGTGAAAGTAAAATGCGCACGCCACTTTTGCAAGCTATTTAAAAGCGAAGGATAGCGAGGAAAAGAGGAAATGTCCCCGTCCCCGCCCCCACGGTGATACCGGTATTATCTCTGTTGTCACACGTCGATTAACCGGTGGGAAAATTTCCTCACCATCACAACTCTTCTCTTCAGTTCACCACACTCGTTTTCTATAGGGTTCAGCTCAGGGAACTGGGTTGGCCAGGGCAAAAGCTTGGTTTTGTTCTCAGTGACCCATTTTTGTTTTGTTTTTGATGTTTGTTTGTGGATCATTGTCCTGTTGGAAGATCCAACCATGGCCCATTATAAGATTTTTAGCATGGACAGTCAGTTTAAAATTTTTTATCCATTGGTATTTTATAGAATCCATTATGCCGTCTATCTGAACAAGATATCCAGGATCTCCGGCAGAAAAATAGGCCCACAACATTAAAGAGCCAGCAGTGTATTTCATTGTACACATGGGGTACTTTTTTTATCCCTGTGTGCACCAAACCCATCTTGAGTGTTTGCTGCTAAAAAGCTAATTTTTTAGTTTCGTCTGACCATTGAACCCAGTCCCGTTAAAAGTTCCAGTCGTGTCTAGCAAATAAATATGCTAGAGTTTGTTTTTGGATGAGAGCGTTTTCTTTTCTAGTT